TGCTTGCAAATCTGCTCACAACTCCCACTGCATGGGCGATGTCCGGCCTCGTGCAAACCATCGCGTACATGAGACTCCCAATGGCTGAAGAATATGGCACCCTGCTCATATGCTCTCTATCTGCATCTGTCTTAGGCGATTGCTCCTCAGATAACTTGAACTGACTTCCAAGGGGTGTGCTAACAACTTTAGCATTCTGCATGTTGAACCTCTGAAGTACCTTCTCAATGTATTCAGCTTGGCTCAAACTCAATGTCCCTTCAGCTTCATCCCTACTGATTCGCATCCCTAGAATCTGCTTCGCTGCACCCAGATCCTTCATTGCAAATTCCTTTGCTAGCTGCCTCTTCAAACTGTTTATCTCTTCTAAACACGGTCCTGCTACCAACATGTCATCAACATATAATAACAAAATAATGAAGCTGGACTCGAACCTTTTGAAATAACAGCAATGATCCGAATTGCATCTTCTGTAGCCATTGTTCTGCATGAAGTTATCAAACTTCTTATACCACTGTCTCGGAGCCTGTTTCAAACCATATAAGCTCTTCTTGAGCTTGCACACCATCTCTTCCTTTCCTTCTTCAATGAAGCCAACAGGCTGCTTCATGTAGATTTCTTCATCCAAGTCACCATGAAGAAAGGCAGTCTTCACATCTAACTGCTCAAGGAAGAGGTCTTCTGCAGCTACCAAACTCAACACCACTCTGATGGTTGTGAGTTTCACAACAGGGGAAAATATCTCCGTGTAGTCCACTCCTTCCCGCTGTTGAAACCCTTTCACTCCCCTATCTGGAAGTTCCTCTATATCCATGTACTCGGATCCACCTGTATCCGTAGTGCTGCTCCCACTGCTTTGGCTATCCTTGGCATTGTCCCTGTCCTTGTACATCACCTCCTCATTGAATATCACATCCCGGCTCCTGATGATCTTCCTGTTCTTCTCATCCCAAAGGCGATACCCGAACTCATCAATGCCGTATCCAATGAATGTGCACTTCTGTGACTTAGCTTCTAGCTTGTCCCTGACATGGTCACTGATATGAACATAAGCCACGCAACCAAATACCCGCAAGTGTGAGAGATTTATCTTCTTTCCACTCCAAACCTCCTCTGGAATCCCAAAATCTAATGGAACTGATGGCCCGTGATTAATAAGGTATGCTGCTGTATGCACCGCATCCGTCCAAAATGTCTTAGGCAGACCTGCATGTAATCGCATGCTCCGCGCACGCTCTGTCAAGGTCCTGTTCATCCTCTCTGCAATGCCGTTCTGCTGCGGCGTCCCTGGAGTAGTCCTCTCTAAGCGAATCCCATTCGTAGCACAGAACCTCTTGAACTCCTCCAGCTCGTATTCTCCACCATTATCTGATCTCAAGCACTTCACCTTCAGATCTGTTTCGTTCTCGACCATGGCCTTCCACTTCTTGAAGATCTCGAACACCTCTGACTTGTGCTTCATGAAGTAAACCCACACCTTCCTCGAGTGATCGTCGATAAAGGTGACGTAGTATCTCGAACAGCCAAGACACACTGGCTGGGCCCCATACATCTGTATGAATCAACTCTAGCTTCTGAGCCTTAGGTGGCCTTCCACCCTTCTGGAAACTAACCCTCTTCTGCTTCCCAAAGATGCAGTCTTCACAAACCCCGACTTCCACGGTGTCGATCCCGGTTTAGCTTTCCTTGTGAATGTAGAATTTTCATCCCCTTCTCGCTCATGTGCCCCAGCCTATTGTGCCACAGATCTGTACTCTCCTTGCCAGCTGCAATTGCGAGGGTGTCACTCGCATGTGAAGTGAGGTAGAGAGTTCCTGTTTTATTGCCTCGGGCAACAATCATCGTACCGTTGGAGATTCTCCACGAATCCCCGGTGAATGTCGAAACGTAGCCTTCTGCTCCAAGCTGTCCCACCGAAACAAGATTCCTCTTCAGCTTCGGCACGTGTCTAACGTTCTTCAAGTTCCACTTAGAGCCATTTATCTGTATCTGAACGTCGCCCTTTCCAACAATATTGCAAGGTTCATTGTCCCCCAAGTATACTTTACCAAAGTCCCCTGCTACATAGTTCTGAAGTAGTTTCCTATTAGCAGTGGCGTGGAAAGAAGCTCCTGAGTCGATGACCCAAGAATCAGAATCGCTATCCATAGCAAGGATCAAGGCATCCTGCACGATATGAGCCTCCTGCTCACCCGCATCCTTCTTTGGTGCTTTACAGACCGAAGACATATGGCCCTCCTGGCCGCAGTTCCAACACTTCCCTTTGATAGACCTAACCTTCGAGTTCGGCCTCTTCTTCACTGATTTCGACCGATTCCTGTTCTGGTTCCCTTTCTTCTGGCTTCTGCCTCTCTGCTCGAAACTTAGGGCTGAACCTAAACCTTCTGATTTGGACGATTTCCTTCTAACCTCCTCGGATAGAATCATACTAACAACCTCATTCAGCTTCAACTTCTCTTATCCCATCGAATTGCTGATTGCCGTCACACAACCTGCCCAACTATCCGGCAACTGCGATAGTAGTAGAAGGGCCTGCACTTCGTCATCGAACGTGATGTCCACGGAGATAAGTTGATCAACAATCGTGTTGAACTTGCTGAGGTGCATCGTGAAGGACCGTCCTTCTGCCATCTTGAGGTTGAAAAGAGTTTTGACTAGATGCACCTTGTTTGCTGCCGACGGTTGCTCGTACATCTTCGCGAGCGCTTCCATAAGCCCCACCGTCGTCTTCTCCTTCAGAATATTGTGGGCTACTGATTTGGCGAGCGACAACCGGATTTGCCCTAGAGCCTTCCTATCCAATACCTCCCAATCACCATCTGACTCCGTCGTCTTCTTTCCCTTTTCCTTGCCCAGAAACGGGCGATACAAGTCCTTCTGGTACAGATAGTCCTCCATCTGCGACTTCCAGAAGGCGAAATCCGATCCGTCGAACTTCTCAATCTTTGATTTGCTTTCCTCTGCCATGGCTTTCACACAAATTGCTGAACGAAGCTCTGATACCAGTTGTTGGGGATTCGAAACAATCAATCGAACCCTTGCCCTTCCGGACCTTGTGTTGAAAGTAGGAAAGTAGGAATAAAACCACAAATAAAGATCTAACTTGCAAAAAAACAGTAAAGGAGATGAACACAGAGATTTAACGAGGTTCGGCAACGTGCCTACGTCCTCGGGAGCCACACCACACAATCTTTCTATTAATTGAAGAAGAAAATACAAGCTCTCAAACAAGGGGTAAATCTCTCTGAGATTCTCTCTCTCTTAGCAGCCAAAAAACTCCTTTTTTTTATGTCCTACAAACCCTAGAAACGTTTGGGTATTTATAACAAACCCCAGCGGGCGATTCGCGGTCGACCGCCGTGCCAAGGCCGGTCGACCGGCCAGAGAAAAATCTGTTTACAGGGTCCTGTGCACATTTGCGGTCGACCGCAGCGGCCACGCCGGTCGACCGGCCAGAGCGACAGAAACTTCTCAGTTTCCTGCAGTGCACGCGGTCGACCGGCTCTGCCACTGAGGTCGACCGCACAGTCTTCTGACTGTTTTCTTCGTCTTTTCGATTGCAGCTTTGGGTCTACACACTTAGACTAACATGTTCAATCTCAAAGGGAAAAGTATATATCCAGCTTTAATAAAACCAAGGGGAGGGTCTTGTGCAGAACTTGCTTGAATCTTATCCTATTCCTAACCTTTTAACTTTTCTATGCCATAACCATCTTGGTGAAGCCTTGAACAAGGGCATAAAAATATTTGCACACAAAAGTTTAATCGAAGATTCATATATTTATGATCTGAAAATAGTGTCTAAGATAAGAGCACCGAAGATGGTATCTGGCTCAATTTAACCCCCTAGCTTTACCTACAGAAGATTTTTCTAAAATACCCATGTCTATACGGTATATATATCTCATGTTGACTAGGTAGGAAAAAGCTCTAAGAAACTCTCGAACTGCGGGAAAAAAGCTCTTATAACGTCATAAAGAAACTCATGTAGAGAAAACAATTATTGTTGCCCAGAGAGATAATGATGAATCTCCACACAAATTACGTCAAAATGTTTTTACTATGTCGTGAACTTAAACCTTTGCGAAATCAGGATGTTCTTGTGTGCCACTACGAAACTTGTCTAGGCCGTTATTGCTAACTAGATTAAGCCAGTAGCCGCTTGAGCAATGCACTTGCTAAAATGCCAACCTAATTAGATGTCAATTTTACTATCTTAATATGGGGTCGAATTCAAGAAAGTTGCTTTTCTCAGTAATAACACGATTAGATCAAAAAAAAAATAGAAGATATACTAGAAAATATAAAAATTAGGAGGTAATTTTTGGAATAGAAAAGATTTGAGAGGTATTGAAGTGCAAATCCCTGATGATGATAATGATGATGATGGCATAAAACTTGTAGTCAGATCAAATCATCCTGACATGTAATTTACAGTTACACAAACCTAAATTCAACATGGAAAAGAAAGCAGATCCTCACAGTTCCTAAAAGAGAATATAAGTTCAACAAGTTGTTTACAGTTTACACCCAGGGGGTGAATCGTTTAATATTAAGAGTAAGAAGAAGTACATGAAACAAAATAGGTGAAATAACAAGCTTGAAAAATGTAACGGCAATTTTCCAATAAAGTCAAGCATATCTCATTGGTAACAAAAGCTTCATATCAAAGAAATTATAGCTACTCAGGAGTAAAATATTAGATAGGACGTACCTTATGGATGAGATCAAGATCATCCTTGTGATGAAAGCAACTAGGCCACCAAGGTTGGAGCTGATGATTTGAAGTTTACAGCTGAAACTGCCAAAAGTCCAGTAAAAAGTCCAGTAAGAAGCCATCCAGAAAGATAAAATCTTCCCACACGATACTAGAAATACTGAAGCAAAGCCATGGATCAACAAGATAAGGAAATGTTGTCCGTGTTTTACAATGAAATATCAGTTGACTAATCACAGAAAAGCTTTAAACCGTGAGGCACGAGAACTACAAAATTGCAATATGGACATAAGAGACGGATTTTCTATTGCATCTCGATGCTTGTTTACAAAAGATAGGCATATACTGATTCAAATTTGCTATAAGATTCTTGTTCAAATAACGGATGGGCATAATTATACAACAGTATTTTCATCCCAATTCGACTACTGCAGAACAACACCACCACCATGCGTTACATCATATAATGCCCTTTGAAAATACGCCATCAGCAAAGGTCATTCTCAACACAGCCAGCATGACTCTCAAAGTCTGAAAATTTTGCAACTTTATATATCTGCAGCAAACTACTCTTGTAGTATGTTTCTAGGTCAGAATCTATTCAAAATTCAGTAGATCCCTCACAAAATCTGGTCTTTGTTCATCTTCCTGTTTGAGAAGCAAAATATTTCAGGTTGCCGCACATTCTCTGCGAGCAGTCTCATTCATTGAGAACTTGATCATAACTATTGAACCTTGAAAATATAAAACATGTTAGAAGCATCACTACGCTGGAGCTAAAGGTTGTTCAACTTTCTCAATGATTTGCAGATAGAACTCCCAAGATGAATCATTTTTCGTTATAGCTGGTTGTCCGAACGGGTTTTCTTGTACGTAGAGTTGGACATCATTGGCTTCAGATAGCCGTTCTAGATAGATGCGAAGATCTCCTCCTGGCCCTACTTGTAAATAAACAGTTAGAAGAAATCATAGAGAAATATAACTTTGTGACATGGAGTTGAGATTCTCACCTAGAGAAGTGTCATTTTCATCATCGAAATGGTAAGGGTATGGGAAGATACCAGTATTCGGCTACATAAAGTTGAGAAAGAAAAAAATATGTGTTATTAATAAAATAAACATAACTGACACGAGATGTAAAAAAAGATGAAAACTGGAACAAGATAGTGAAGAATTTACTGGATTGCAAAGAGCTTTGTATGGAGAATCATCCACAAGTAAGGTATTTGATGGTGAATAATCTCCCTTCTCCCATGGAAGATCACTTTCTTCTTTTAGCCATAATTTTTTCAGTTCCTTCAAAACCAGTGGTTTATGCACATTTTCTCGAGTTTTAAATCCAGTATATGTACAGTGAGATTGATCCTGCACAATTGAGAAACATTAAGATATCGTGCAAGATGAATAGAATAGGGCTAAATGTACCAAGCAAAACAGTATTGCCATTTATAAGAAGATTAAATGTCAAAAGTGATGCATTTCAAGATTGATTACCCAACAGAATAGGAGCTTATGCCTATTATCTCCCATAATATAATCAAGAGCACCATCAACATTATACCTGCAGATATTTTAGCATTGTTATCCATCATGTTTAGCAATTAGCACTGAGTAACAAGATTGTATAAACCAAATGTTTAATAATGAAAGGAAGAGTAGAATGTCAATAATATTGAATACATACTTTCTCCGTGAGGACCAAACTCCTATTTCAAATGTCTCGAAGCAGTACTTCAGAAAATCATCACAAAAAGGCCTTTTAAAAACTGATAAAAATGGACAAGGTGTCCATCAGCATCAAAATTTCTAGCATGGGTATATAATGCAATCTAAATTTTGATAATGTCAAACTCACCAGCTTTTCCCCCGACTTTCTTCGGAGCTTTATGGACATTACGGTTATCAAGAACAAAATCTGCAAGTAGTCCATTCAAATCAAGGACAATAAGTTTTTTCCTTGTACGACTGGCCAAATTTCTTTCTGGTTGCAGAAGCACAGCCTCTATTTCCTTATCTTGGAAGTTGATGGGATCTGAAATACAACTACTCTCTATACTCTGCCTAATCGATAGAGATTTAGCTTCATTCCTTGGATTGTTGCTTATTACTTTTACATCACAAGAAGACGTGGCATTCAAGTCATCCTTTTTGCAAATTCCAGGCAATGTATTGTTAGATTCAACGCCACTGCACACCTTCTCAGAATGATTATCAGATGACTCATCTGAGTGGAACTTCTTTTCTGTTTGGAATGAGAAATTAACTTCTTCCTTTTTACACAAACTTGAAACTGTTTTTTCATTAGGTTCAGCCACAGAGGAAATGTCATGAATGACACCTCTAATTGGTGAAGAAAGTGCTTTCAGATTTCCTTCTGCAGAAATGCCAGAAGCTTCTGGCACCTTATAAGACTCATCAGTCAAATCCTCATTAAGAAGTGCCCATGCATCTTTAGACCCATCCTGTTCATGAATAGAATGTTCTACCTCTTTATTCATTGACTTTTGAACTTCCTCAGGCACAGATCCATTTCCAGAATTAACAGCTATAGAATCCCCCATAGCTTGCAATGTAGCATCAGAAGAATCCTCATGGACCAAAGTTGAGTCTTTATCAGGTTCCTTCTCCTCAAACACCTGAGTTTGTACTGCATCAGCAGTTCTTGATACATAGCTTTCTACCTTACTAACTAGTGGTTCTGGTTTGTCATTGAATGACTCTTTACACTGACTCTTATTTGTCACATCCCTCCCCTCATTACTAGGTAAAGCCAAACCATCAGCAGAATTATGACCTTGAATATCTTGCAATGAAGAAATAGGAATATCCTTATCAAGAGAAATATTAATGAACTTAGTTCCCCCATTATGGCGGACACATTTTATCTGATCTGAACTGGTAGTTTTCACCTCCGTTGAATTTGAATCTATTACAGTAACCATATCATGCTTTATCTCAGGATGAGCACCTGTACTTATTAATATGTTTTCTTTCTTGATTGTGACGGAAATATCAATAGGGTGTACAGAAGTGCAGTTATTATTACCCTTAGCATCCTCCTTATTGGTGTTTGGTGCAATGATAGATGGATCAGCACTGTGGTCCATTGCCATGTCTAACTTACTATCTGGCTGCATAGCATCAACAATGTTCACAGTATGCTCCGTTAAATTTGAATCTATTACAGTAACCATATCATGCTTTATCTCAGGATGAGCACCTGTACTTATTAATATGTTTTCTTTCTTGATTGCGACGGAAATATCAATTGGGTGTACAGAAGTGCAGTTATTATTATCCTTAGCATCCTCCTTATTGGTGTTTGGTGCAATGATAGATGGATCAGCGCTGTGGTCCATTGACTTACTATCTGGCTGCATAGCATCAACAATGTTCACAGTATGCTCCTCTTTTTCAGTCATTTGCTTCTTCTCTTCTGATTCAAATCCTGCAGAGTAAATGAGAAATAGATATTCTTGAAAATTTGAGGAAACTTGTTCAGACACATTATAAAACTACAGCCTTTAGCTAGCCCAAGAAAGTAAGCTTTCTGACTGTTACAGTAAAACACATCATATTCATCGTCATATTAATAATTTATGTTACCATGTGTTAAGGCTTATAATAGATGGCTAATGACTATATATACTATCAGAAGATAAGGGGAGGACATGCAAATACTATGTTGTCTTGATTACTCTGAATTGATAATTGACGGAAGCTGGTGATTCCTATCGACAAATGCATTATGTATCAGATGATTGAACAAAATATTTATGTGCCATCAATGAGAAGAACTCATACTTCCAGTCACCAGCTTATAGTACAACAAAGCTATCAAAAAATTCCAAATTTGTAATAAACATTTGTGTCATCGGTCCACAATTCTTGTCAAACTGATGCTGGAGGTTTCATTCAAGAAATGACATGAGAAGATATGTTGCCTTCCAGATATAGGACTTCATCAGAGAACCTTTTCCTAGGTAGTTATTAATCATTACACTGTTTCTAGACTTTCTGAAAGAAATGTTCATTAAGAAAACAACCCAGTAAATGAATCTCATGAAAAAACTTTAGGCAGGTAGACATCTACAACTTAAACTCACATGGAGTTTGAAGTTAAGGAAATATGCATGTTTCTGCAGTGTACTCAGCTGGAGTGAGACTTCATTCTTCCAGCTAGCAAATTCTTTGCAAGTCTCATGGTGCTTATCCACGCACAAAGTATCTCATATAGCTAAGTATAACCTAAGGAAGAGAGATGATGGTTGTCTTCTATTCCTACGAAGCCATGACGATGGATAAATGGCAAACTCTCCAACCCAAAGCCAAATCTAGAATCAAACAGTTTGGTGCATTAGGATTACGATATAGTTCACAACTAAAAGTTCATCTCAGAATTTCTAAGCATTAAGCAGTTATAAGATTAGCCATTTGCAAACAGTATTGATTAAATTCATTTAAGGACATGCTTGTAAAGTGAAAACACAATAAACATTAGATAAGCTAAACGCCAAACTCTACAAAGTAGAGGGAAAAATATCTAGATAAGATGCACCTGAGAGAATCATAATAAGCTCAAACAAAGAAGAAAAATCCTACACTTTCACATAACACACTCAAAGGAAGGTTCCACGTTTGGTGCATACAGTTTCCAGTATACTCCACAAGTAAAAGTTTATCTCAGAGCCTTCGGAGCACTTTACATTTACAATTACACCATTTTCTAAAGGTATTGAATTAAATACATTTAAAGTATTGCCCTCATGCAAAAGAATTATAGGCCTGCTTCTACGGATAAAGTTACAACAAACATTAAATAGGCTAGAAGCCGAACTCAACAAAGCAGAGGGGGAAAAAGAGATAAGTATGCATTGAGAGAATCATAATAACTTTAAAGCAACGAAACAAAATCCTACAGTTTCACATAATCCACTCAGAGCATAGATCCATATTTGTTGCATCAGGATTCCGGTATAATCCCAATTAGAAGTTAATCTCATAATTTTCTAAGCAGTGTGCAGTTATAATATTCCTCCATTTACAAACGGTATTGAATTAAATGCATTTAATGCATTGCTCTGATAGAAAAAAATTATGGGCGTGATAAAATACAACAAAATTAGTATGCAGTTATAATAATCCTCCATTTACAAAAGGATTGAATTTAATGCATTTAGTACATTGCTCCGACAGAAAAGAATTGTGGAAATGCTTCTAAAGATAACATACAACAAACATTAGTTAGCTAAACCCAACAAACTAGAGGAGAAAAGTTCTAGATAAAATGCATCAAGAGAATCATTATAAGCTCAGAACAAATAAACAAAATCCTAAAATCTTACATAACCCTCAAAAAGCAAAGATCCATGTTATAAAGTGCATAATTCCCAGCTAAAATATCCTCACAGAAACCAATAAGAGTCATTAGAGATATGCTAAACGAAGAAATACTTCCATCAAGAACATTTCTCCATGAAATCACACTAAAGCTGAGTAAGTCTTCTGTTTTTGTATATTCCATCTCCCGATGAAATTCAACAATACATAGACCTCTTTTAGAAGCATTTGTTCAAGATATTAGATAAAAATATAGCAGGAAGAAATATGTTACAGGAACCACAATTAATCCACAAGATCAATATAATTAATCGGTAGCTTTAAGGCCTTACTATATTGACATAGATCTTGTTCATTTCCCTCTCTACAATGTACTGCACAATAAAGTAGACAGCTTCATATTCTTCTCTCTACCCCTATTTCTCCCCTAATTAAATTTCCTCCTTAACCTCTATATACTAGCTGTCTGCAAATAACCGACACCTCCTATTATGTTAGCCACGGGTTTTATGATGCCAAAATCTCCTTCCAAGAATGCAGCATAAACCTCAAGGTTTTTTTTTTGTCAAACGTTTAAGGAAGAGGGATGAAGGAGCAGCATGAGCCTAGTTAACCCGTTTATTATTTATTATTCTGGTTTAAGTGATTAGCCAAGATTCGTTTTTAATCTTTGTACTCTTCTTGTAGCGCTTCAGAATATAGAGGATCAGTACGCTTTCCTTTATAAATAAAGGTTTTATCGTAACCTGTCTAAAGTGGTGGACTAGTAAACCTCTCGCATTGAGGGTTAAAACATTTTAACGCCTCTAGAGGGATTACCTTAACCCTTCTGTATCTTTTATGTTTGACAACTTAAGACGGGTTAGGGTTAACTTACTTTATTCCATGAGTAAGGATTATGTGTTTGGCAGGCGATGAAGGGGTTAACTCTCCTTAACCTCATTTAACCCATTACCCCCCCAAAAAAAAGAACAAAAAAGAAAAAAAACCTAAAGGGCGTTTCCAAGGACTATATATCGTAAAGAAATCACATATGACCTGATATCAATTTTTGTCTTTCTTCGGAAAATTCAATCAGATTCGATGACGGAATCTTTCACCAAAAATGCTGTAGTCAGAAAACTCTGCATGCTAATTCTCCAACTTATTCTACAAAAAGACTCTTCTTTCCTAAAATAAAACATCTAGCTCAATAAAACATGCATTATATACCTGAATAAATTACGTTAAAAAAAACACACCTCACTCAATCTCAACATAGAATTATTTAAACAAGAAACAGAAATTCAAAACATACCTACTAAAAAACGCTCCAATCAACTTCGTTTTTCTCAGCAAAGCAACCGAAACCCAAAAAATAAACTCCCAAACAAAGCGAGATTCAAAGTAGATGTCCGCTCGAAATTACTACGGGAGGTTTGAACCAAAAAGATCGAAACTTTGGAATCGGAATCTCACCTGAATCTAGGGCTTTGCGCTTCTGCATCGCTTCGAGTTCCCCTCTGCCCTCTTTATTGAATCGGACACTACTATTTTAGGTCTTCAAGACTTTTCTTCGATTTTTTTGACAAAATTTATTTGATCTTCCTTAAGATGCGCCTTTTCGAAATTATAAGCTAACGTGGTCCTTCTATAAAGACAAAACAGAACTGGGACTTTTGGGGGTTGAGGAGTCCAAGACCGTTACTTGGTTCTCAAAATGGAGCTCCATACCGGCGCGAGCAATGTGGACTTTTAACAGACGGTTAGATCTGACCGTTCATTTAGTGTTTCTATTTTTATGGACGGTCGGATCTTGGCGGAAGATTGGGACTTCGTTGTCCGAATCTGATCGAAGATCTGCTTCGAACAAAGTGCCATCCATTTTTGGCATAATTACGATGCTGTCACCGGCGAGAGAAATTTATTTATAATATTAAAATTTGCTTATTATTTTAAAATTTGCTTATTATTTTGACTCTTAAATTGAAAAAGTAAACTCATGTTCATCTGTATATCATTATTACCCTTCTAAATCAATATTATGATATGAAAAACATACACTTTCATATAATGGTTATGAATCTCGTATCACGTCGCTAGTAAAATTTTGGACATCTTGGTGGGCAACCCCGTCAAGGTTGTCCATTCTCCCATCAACGAAGCGTATCCTTGATAAAGGAACTTGGTAGTATTTAGTAATCCAACATGGATAAAAGAACCTAATCTCTATTTTCTTCGTGAGTGAAGCATGTTCAAAACATAGATACGAAAGAAAAAACAATTGTTGTCCTCAACAAAAACTTAGTAGTATTATTATCACAAAGAGCAAATGGAACAATAAAACTATGGATCAAAATATCACAAAGAGCAAATGGAACAAAACATACCTCAGGCACCTGTCTCTTCTTCTCCTCTTTTCTTTCTTTTATATCTCCTATTTATAGAATTATATGTTCGTTTCCTATTACATAAACAATATTTATTGCTCACTTATTATTATTATTATTATTATTATTATTATTATTATTATTATTTACTCTTCATGGGAGGTGAATGGTGCATATGCCAGTTAAATTGACATTTCTGGGAAAACGTTCCCGTTACAGCCGTTTTAGTGCTAAAAATAATCTTCAATCAATAGTAGACAAGTGTCCCGTATTACGCATAATCGAGCCAACTCTTCACTTCAAGATAACCAAAGACCAAGCTCGGACGACTCGACACGTCAACATATCGCAAGAACGACTCAAAAAACATTACATGTCAACTCTTGGCTGGGTCGACTTCTTGACCAACCTACTCAACTGACCATTTAGCTGACATCTCGCGAGGGAGACTCAAAAGGCGGTACTTCTCGACCCTCTACCGAACGAATAGAAAGGTGACGACTACCACGAGGCTTGAGCCCCTTCCCGCATACTGATAGTCAATCACCTCACAATAAATGTCATTAAATGCAATATGGGCGACATCATTCCTTTGTCCTCAATAGTCTTTATGACACATCGGACCACGTCGGCACCGCACTCCCCCAATCACTTCATATTAAATGTTGAAGTGACATCTCCTCCACTCATCGACCAACACTCGTGAAGGAGATGCTGACTTGGCTGTCGGCCCATACTCGATTAAAATTACCATCCTACCCCCTTACTATCACTATAAATAGGGGTACTATTTTCAACAAAAGATGTAAGGTCCTTATCTCTACCCACTGTACTTAAGAACTACAGTTTAGTTACTTCTCCACTCAAAAATATTACTGATTTGATCGTCGGAGGAACAACCGGGGAACCCAACCCCCGCCTTCTTATGATTTGTCACTTGTGTTGGGAAGAACAACCCACCTCAGAACTGGATATTCTGAGGGTCAGAGAACCTCCGTCAACTAAGCAGCTTCTTTTATTGACTGTTTGATATCAGTCATCAACAGTTCCTACAACCAAGAGGGTGTTTGGGGAGACATTTTTTTTGTTAGACTACCTTTCAAGCTAGCTCTTTCATTTCTAGATGTTTGATAAAATGCCAAATAAGTTAGTTTATAAGCCTCACCCGCTTTTAAAAAGCTAGCTTATAAATTCATTTAAAAAAAGCTAAATTTGACCAAACAAACTACTACCCTAGTCATGCTGTCAAAACAATAATAATATAAAGCAAATTAAAGAGTTAGAAAATTCAGGCCTGATTGGGAGCAGTCGTGATATCACTGCCCTAGAAGATTAAGGACCCACCTATCGCCCTGGCGCAGTTTGTCCTCTCTCCCCTAGCGGTAAAAACCCCCGGAATCGGCCGGCCTCTGCACTCGGGCGTGAGACACAGAGCTTATGCTCAGACGAAAACAGTTGCCCAGAAAATAGAATATGTAAATATGTAGCCGAAATCTTTTCTTGGAGGTATAAGAGTAGAGAAGAGAAGAGAGTGTAGAGATTTTCCTCTTCGTTGGTGTGATTCTGAATGAGCTCCAAGCCTCCTTTTATAGGTGATGAAAGGTGTAACCCCCGCTGAATCCAAGGGACCGTTACGCACGGTTAATGCTTCCGTTACCCGCATGCAGCCGTTACAAAATGTGTAAAACGTGCAAAAATGAAGGCTTGAGAAGCAAAAGGTGTGCGGCTGCGGCGTGCGGGCGTGGCGTGCGTGCGTGCGTGCGCGTGTGTGGTAGAACCGCAAAGCCCACAAAACCCAAAACACTATTCAAAGCCCAATAATGAGAGAACCATTATATACCCTTTACTATTCATCTCATTTTCCGATGTGGGACTATTCACAAAGGCAAAATTGCCTTTTCATGAATAAGCTTCCAACAATACTAAAGTGAATTCCTATATTTCAAAGATTCATATAAACCCATAGAAACTATGGAGCCTGTAAAATAAAATAAGACAACAGCTTATACTTCTTGTATTTCAAACTGTGCAAATAGTATAGTCCTAGAATTACATACGTGCAAAATTAATGTTAAATCTAAAGTGATAACCGATAATACACTAAAAAACAAGGCAAAACTACATACGTGGCACCCTCACTTTAGTCCCACATAGACTAGCGTGAAGAAATGTTAGATGTTTAAATAGAGAAAAGACGTGGGCCCGCGGGTGTGACAAATGGTATCGGAACAATTGCCGGTCGGAAGTGTGGAGCTAAGTGCTACACCGCATGATGCGGTGGGAGCCACCTCTAAAATCCACATCGCCTGACAAGTGGTACTGGGATGTGCCAATTGTCATGTCATGACGACGATGACGTCGTCTTTGTAAGGTGGGGTGATTGTGAAACCCTCACTTTAGTCCCACGTGGACTAACGTGAAGAAATGTTAGTGGTTTAAATAGAGAAAAAGCGTGGGCCCTGGACGTGACAATATATTAGTTAACATATTAAAAGAGGGAGCCATAGAAATGGCATGATGAAGATGCGGCCACCAACTGCAAGTTCATGCAACTATTCATCCACAAACCCCACATGTACAACCACATGGCTTTAGTCCGGATCATTTATTCTAATAATAATAAAAATTAATTAATAGAATGTGGGCATATAGCTAATTATTTGATTAATTAAACAAATTAGAGAGCACTGTAGAGGAATATGGGCGCCATGTGATTTGTGAAGGAGGTACTGTAGCTCTCCTGGGCTTTGGAAATTGATCAATGATTGAATTAGGATTATGGTCCACTACTTCCTTTGCAAAGCATGTAGGTTAAGGTAATGATTTGATGTGAGATGGGCGGTTTATTTGGGTACTCGTTCGCTTATATTAAATGATTTTGTCATTTTATATACATTTAAGTTTTATTTTTAGGATAAATTACACTTAAATACTTAAAAGTTTGCTCGACATTGCACCAAAATAACCTAAGCTTAAAACCCTATACTTAATTAATTAAAAGTTTCTAAAACTTGCACTTTGGTGCCTTAAATGTCCAATCCAATGCAAATGTGAGGATATCGCCCTCAAAATTCTCATGTGACACTCAGTTGTTATTTTTAGAATATTTTAATCCTTAGTTAACTCTTAATTTCTGCTAAATTAATCGTTACTATCAGATTTCTATCTTAAGATAGAATTAGAGTAGGATTGACGTGCTTAACAATATTATTAACAGCAAAAGGGTATACATGACATTATTAATACCTTTTACCGATCTAACAAAAATTCGAGGAATACACCGGGGTATGCTTTGAGCGAGGGAAGGGATATCATAATGTTGGAGAATTGGAGAAAGGATACCAAATCTTTATATTTTCGGTTTATCTAACACCATTACGAGGTTAGCTGAAAATTTGAGAACATCTAGAAAGTTTCTAAATATACTTAAGGGGTCTACGTGATATTTTCAAAGTTTACGGGGTTTATCTTAAAATCGGCCAAACTCGGGGTGTACCCCTACCCTAGACCCCCCTACACACTCCTAAACACTATAAATAGCCCCCTAGGGCCTTGCTTTTGAGAGGAGGATTTTTGGAGAGCCTTGGCGAAGCCCTGCTGCAGTGAAGAGTGGTCGAGCGCTTCAACCGAGGAGGAGAGGTCTACATCAGTCTTCATCACCCATTCCCCGTCAGATCCTTAGTATTAGCCCTTGGCGTTAATACTAAGAAGAGCTAATATCTCGCTTTAGCCGAGATTGACGCTTTAAGCTTCTAGATCTCACGCGGATCGACGAAGCTCTGTCCGATTTTTCTGGATCAGAAGCTTCTAGATCTCACGCGGATCGACGAAGTTCTGCTTCTATATCCCTTCGCGGATAGACGAAGCTCTGCCCGATTTTCTCGGACCAGATCTGAGTGCCCCGGTGGTCCACGGATATCAACATCCCCGTCACAGGCAAAAGACCCACGCAAGCAAGAGATGATAAACAGATCTTGCGTTTGTTTGAAAGGAGTTGTATTTCTTTTGTTTTCATTGTGTAAGAGTCTTATAAAAAGGCTATCTTTTTGTTTCATTGTAACGATTGAGGTTGTAATGAATGCAGCAATGAATACAGCAACTTTTTCCGTAAACAAGCTGGCGACCATAGTGGGAGCCAACGGCATCGCTACCGACGCCGTCATGACGCAACCGGCATTCAAGATCCGG